CTCTCTCACTCACACACTCTCTCACTCACACACACACTCACTCACACACACACTCTCACTCACACACACACACACACTCTCACTCACACACACACTCTCACTCACACACACACTCTCACTCACACACACACTCTCACTCACACACACACTCTCACTCACACACACACACACACTCACTCACTCCAGAAACGTAAAACATCACAGACGAGGTGAATTCAAGCCCTGAACAGAAAACAACAGAAGTGAGTGTGCTTAGGTTATCTGATAACTTTATTACCAAGTTAAAAAAAGACAATGAATTACAATATTTACAGAATACAGAGAAATCAAAGGAATAAAACTGTAAACAACCGTCACAAGCCACCGTCAGAAATCATCAGGAGTTTCACAGAAGAAAGGCAGAACGCAGGAGATCTAGTCAAGGTCAACAGGAGGAGAGAATTAAAGGGCAACGATAGAAACTAAAGCGCGTCTATTTACAGATATCCAGTGTTACGATAGCAGACGCCCCGACTCTTATTTCTGATGCTTCTCTACACGCTTCTTCAGAAGGCCTGCCCTACTCCTTATGAAGGACATGGAGGGGTTTGAGCGTACAAGAGAGCTTTTTATTGTGTTTTTTATTCTTAACCAGACAATTTACAACAGCTTTGAACAGTGGAGAGCTAAAAAAAACAAGTCTTCTATTGATTTCTATTCTTCTCTTTTTTTTAGACGCCCCGACTCTTATTTCTGATGCTTCTCTACACGCTTCTTCAGAAGGCCTGCCCTACTCCTTATGAAGGACATGGAGGGGTTTGAGCGTACAAGAGAGCTTTTTATTGTGTTTTTTATTCTTAACCAGACAATTTACAACAGCTTTGAACAGTGGAGAGCTAAAAAAAACAAAGTCTTCTATTGATTTCTATTCTTCTCTTTTTTTTGTTTGCTTAAGTTAAATATCAGAACAACACTTAAAGGAACAGACCCCTTTCTGAAACAGAATCCACAGTTTCAAACACTTCGAGTTTATACACGGCTGCAAAACATCATGCAGGTTTCCCAGAATGCATCTGGGTCGGCCCTCAGCATTGCTCGGGAAAGACAATCATATCTCAGGAAAACTTTGGGAAGCCACACTTTCGGTAGCGAGAAGAGGTTTGCTTTCTGATTTCGTGATGATGGATATTGGTGGAGAGCTTCTGCTCGGTGGATCCAGAAGGGAAGCGTAAAACATCCGCGTCTATAAGGCTTTGGGGTTTCAAGCAGCAGTTCAATCTCAGCCTCACGGTTCGACGGCTTCGTGACGTTTCTCCGCAAACACGGCGGTCAAACGACGGAAGCCTCGGAGTCTCGTTCTGCTCAACTTCCCAGAATCGGTGCCGTTTTCACTCATCCTTCAGCTTCAGTAAATCACGTTTGGAGTAAACCACGGATCTTTGTTCCAGTGCGAAGCGACTACGTTTCTGAACTAACTGCGGAAATTTCAGAGCTGCTTGCACTCAAAAAAATATTTAGACCTAAATCTAATACTTATGCATTTGAATTGCATATAAAATCTACACATTGTTTTAATGTAAACAAACTAATAAAATTAACGTGATGCATATTTGTCAGCCGTGCATGAATAAAAACTGGTCAGATTTCTGTAATTTTAATAAACTAACACATTAATAATAATGAATGCATTTTAAACACTCAATAGCCACGTTTATATATATATATATATATTCAGCATCAATAAAATCCAATTTCTTTTTCATAAATGTTAAACTTGCTTGTTCAACAGCTAGTCGTATTTAGCCATGTTCATACTTTTTAACAGAATAAATTTGATATCTATTTTGCTGATTACAACATATTTATGCTGTTTCTAAAAATTATTATTTAAATGAAATCAATTCCAAATAATTTTTAATATTCTTTGCCATGATTTTGTCCAAAAAACTCTATTAAATAATAAATATTTTAATATAAAAATTATAATAGTATCTTAATGATACTAAATTAACACCGAGGCGGAAATCTGTCCCGTTTAATTTCTGGATGACTGACAAGCATGCGTCACAAGTTTATCAGTTTATGTTAAAACTGCAATTCAAAAACATTAATCTTACATCCAGGCCTAAATATGATTGCGAGTGTGTTTTGAACTCGGAATATTCCTTCAAACAGACCGTCAGAATCGGCAGCAGATCTACCCGAGACTGCGATCCATCGATGCCCAACGCGTTAATCGTTATTAAAGTGAAGCGGAAGTGCAAGACGAGCCGGAAGTAGCCGAAATCTTCAACAGTAGCAATTTGCTACGAGTTTTTGGGGCAAGTGTTGATACTCTAAAATCATGTCTAAAAGAATCAAACGATCTAGATAAATAAGATGACAACTATTCCTCAAGGAATTCAGCTACGGGAAGATTAACACAAGGCTAAAATGTAAAAAACAGAAACCGCCAGGCGACGTTCCGAGCGAATCCGAGACCCTCCCGTCGTCCGAGAAGCTTCCGGAGGAATCGTCTCTCGTTTGAAGCGGACGTGAATCGCGACACGCCGTCTTCAAGACTATCAGCGTGTGTCATCGCGGAAGACATTCGATTCTCACACATCTTTCATTACGGATGCTTATTTTAATAAATCAATGTAACAAAAAAGTGCGTTTGGAATTCAAATCTCTGGTTTACGGCTAAACCGGCGAACGGAGGGACTCGCGATTCGATCGGAATCTCGACTCGCGGTTTCATTCACTATTGGTTACCAATATATCAACATCTGTCCTGAGGGACCAAGTCACACTTTGTAAAATTCAGTGTAAGATTCAGCAACTGAACAAACGCGACACATCAACATCTAGCGACACTCCAAACCGGGATCGTCACATTCCACAAATCTAGCTTTTTAAACCAAATACTCAAGAAGCAGCCGATGTTGTTCTGCAACAAAACAAACGGTGAACAGACAGACGAAACAACGGCACGCATGACATTCTCTACAGCTTTCGTTTTGCTCCTAAGGATCGTTTTTGGTCTCCTGCGTCTCTTTGTCTTCCTCGGTCTGAATCGGACACTTGGATTGGTCAGACTGATCCACAGTGTTACTGGATAGGTCCAGCCCTCTGTCACTCACAGCTGCTGGACCAATCAGAGGCAGCGCTGACGAGGGCACAGGACTGCCGTCGTTCTTGCTGCCGTTAACAGTCCTGAAAACACAAAACACGTCTCAGCTTTAACTCATTGGTTACTACTGTAAGGGTTAGCCCATTTAATCCCAAATTTTTCCCAGACACACCAATATCCAAATGATGCGTCATTAGTAACGCTTTGAAATAATCAATCATTATTTTTTGCATTTCTTTTGGAAAAATGTGTGAAACATTGTGTTTTATGGTCGGTGGGATAATGCGTGTACTGAATTAACATATTTCTGAAGTCATACAAATTATTATATATCTTAGCCCAGCAACGTTTCACAAAATAAAACGGAGCAAATAAAGTGTAAAGATATTAATAAAAACAGTATTCTTCCACCAAACAATGTAGCTCCTCAGAAACAGTTGTGGTTGCTACAAAGTGGTTGCCGAGCAACACACAAACGTAAACAAAGGTGTGTGATACTTTGTAGCGTCATTTATAACAGCTTCGAACGCGGCTCAGCCAATCAGAGTCAAGAACCGGGACTCTCTGCTTTATGAAAACGGTTTGATCACATTCTAGTGTTACTATTATGTATCAAAATACAACATTGATCGGAATACTGAGATAAAAGACAAAAAAATACAACAAATTTCAAAACTGTTACTTTTTTGTAATTAAAAACAAAAGTTTAAGGCTAAACACTACAGGCAAAATCATTGCTTTCTCATGCACTGGTTAGTTTTGAGATTTCGGTCTATTTTGCTTCTATAACGTCTTCTTTCACACTAGTGAAAAGCAAACATATAAAATACACATTTAAGTGTTTATTTTATTACACTTTATCTATCTGCAATCCTTATCAACCAGTTTTTTTCTCTTAGATACGCCAATCGTAGCAGTTCTATTCCTCTCTATATTCTGAAGGTTTGTTCAAATATCATTCACTTTTATTTGTAGAGCACTTCATTCCTAAAAACATGGCAAAAAAGTGTGTTTTCGATCTGTTGACAGTATTTTCTGATTTATGGAGTGACAAAAAGAGAAATCCAAAAACCCCTCTGAAAAAATGGTTAACTCTAATATGTCAACAAAGAATTTTGAACCTGGTTTTATTCAATGTTCAGATTTATTTTCTGGAAATATATGCAAAATTGCATTTGTACATTTAAACCGTAATACAAAACAATTTTCTTAATGTACTATGCTTAATCAACTGGTGAACATATGCTGATGTCTTTTTCTCTATTTACCTGTGGTGCATTAACCTTAATATAAAAAAACAACAACAAAAAAGGTATTTTAGCATACTGAAATTTCATTTTAGCGACAGGAGGTGAAGTGTTACTGCTATTATATTATAAAAAATATTTTGTAGAGGATTAATAATAGGGCTGCACGATAAATCGCATGTGATATATCTTCTGGTCTTCTGTTTATTCAGCTGCAGCGATAGGGATTTCCTGGATTTCTTCTGCGAAGCGTATTTGGAGTTTCTCTGGAACATGAAGACCGTTACCTGTCACCTCGGTCTGGCTGCTCGTCGTCTCCTGTCTGCTCTCCGGAAGCTTCTCCTCCTCTTCATCCTCCATCAGCTCTTCCTCCTCCTCTTCGTCTGCCTCCTCTACGGTCTCATCTTCTCCTTTCTCCTCCTCCTCCTCCTCCTCCTCCTCGCTGCTGCTCACGTCCTTCGTCTTGTCCTTCATCTCCAGCTGGTCCAGGTTCACCCGCCCCACCAGCTCAAAGTTACGGATCACCTGCAGACGACGGGTTAGACTGAGTAACGTCTCCTTAACTAGCCACAGAAAGATCAGACATGACAGAAGACTGTAGGGCTGCGACGATAAACCGATGCAGAATCAATTCGTGGATCGATTCGGAGATCTTCCGAATGCATGGCGACGCTCTCTGGAATCGATTCGGAGCTTAGATTTTAACAGCAGATGGCGCTCTAATCTAGTTTTCATCCGCATACTCAAAATGCTCATGAAGAAGAGCGCTCATGCGAGTCTGTAATTTCACCTGGGCTCAGAATGCTTTTATGACACCAGATTAATGTAAACAGCCCACTGTGAACACCCTTGTAATTCGCTTCAACCTTTTCGAACTTTATGAATGATTATTTTAGGTTCAAGTGTGTGTAAGGATTTGGAAACAAGCAGAGTACGGCGGTTTCTAAAGCATGCAGCGCCATCTGCTGTTCAAAACTAAGCTCAGAATCGACTCAAGAAAGAAAGAATCGCGAAGCATTCGGGAAATCTCAGAATCGATGCTGAATCATTTCTCGATGCATCAATTTATTTTCCCAGCCCTAACAAATATATAGCGCTTTTAACCGTACAGATTGCGTCAAAATAGCGCTTTTAACCATTCACATTGCATCATATAGCGCTTTTGGTTAAGGTCACTAATGACCTACTGCTTGCAGCCGATGCTGGCTTGTACTCCATTTTAATCCTTCGTGATCTTAGCTCAGCCTTTGACACAGAGGACCCTAATGTCTTGATCAACCATTTAAAATCTTATGTTGGTCTCAGAGATGTAGCTCTGGATTGGTTTATTTCTTATTTGTCGAATAGGTATTTTTCCATAGTGCTTGGAGATGCCTCCTCTTCTCGTGCTTCTTTATTTTGTGGGGTCCCTCAGGGACCTATTTTGGGTCCCCTTCTGTTTACTATGCACATGTTACCCCTGGGTCAAATTATGCGTAGTTATGACATTGAGTTCCACTGCTATGCAGAGAATATGCGCCCTTAATGCGTGCGTTGTCAGATGCAGAAAGCACCGCCTATTTTACTTTCACTTTTATGGTTTCATAAGCCTTGCACAAAGTTTGCACGTTGCTTGTACGATATCTACTGGCTCGCCTTCATGGTTTAAAACAGAAATATTTCTAATACTGCGACCCACCCCTGCCGCGGATTTGCGCTACGCCACTGATTGTAGGGCTGTGACGATAAATCGATGCAGAATCAATTCGAGTATCGTTTCAGAGACCTTCCGAATACATTGCGATTAATTTCTCGATTCGTGATGCATGGACTTATTTTCCCAGGCCTCGAGGACAGACCTTGTGCTCCTGGCGCAGGTGGGTCTCCAGCTCGTGCAGGAGTTTGCTGTCGTAGTAGCAGAGCTGACACTGGTAGGGCTTCAGCTCCTCGTGCTTCTGGATGTGCTGCTGCAGGTTCGGCTCGCTGGAGCAGGTGAAGGTGCATTTGTGACAGCGGAACACCAGGCCCTCCAGATGACGAGACAGCTTCGAGCGAGACACCTCCAGCGGGACCACGCGCTCCTCTGAGAACCATCAAAACACCACAATCACACTCTGATGCATGTCACGCTAATGCGCTTTTGAAGTGTGGCCTTAAATGACCAACATCATCTTCACATATTCATGCATATTTAATTAAGTGACCCTGCAGCACAAGAGCAGTGTTAAGTCGCTGGGGGATATTTGTAGCAATAGCCAACAATACATTGTATGGGTCACAATTATACATTTCTCTTTTATGCCAAAAATCATTAGGATATTAAGTAAAGATCATGTTCCATGAAGATATTTTGCAAATTTCCTACCGTAAATATATCAAAACTTAATGTTTGATTAGTAATATGCATGGCTAAGAACTTCATATGAACAACTTTAAAGGCTTTTTCCTCAATATTTAGATTTTTTTGCACCCTCAGAGATTCCAGATTTTTTAATATTGTTCTATCCTAACAAACCATACATCAATGGAAAGCTGATTTATTCAGCTTTCAGATGATGTATAAATCT